CAAACAAATCTTCCTATGATTAACATACGAAAGTCAGCTTGAGATTGACGTCATATTTAGAATTCTAGGTTCCCTATTTCTGCTTAGACTAAGTGGTACTTAGTGAAACAAAACTGTTGAAATCAGACGGGCTTTAGACGTGTGATAACAACTAATGGTATCCGTCAGGGATCTTCAGTGTCTCTGTCTTTCCCCTGTTGGTTTGCAGGGATTTGAGTGATATTAAATTAGATCAAAAGACTGACATCATTTACCGCTCCTCAGTAATCTGGAAAGTTGTTTCATCTCAGTTTGGGACTTTAGCAATGCATATCCAGAACCCTCAGATTACGAAATCAGCCACTGCGACGAAATCCATTAGCTCATGAACTCTAAACTTCTGCTTACTATAGAGAAATAAACAAATTAATCTAGTCACTTCAATTTCTTTTAAGAGGTCTAAAGATTTTGTTCTTAAAATCACTGACATCCAAAGACTCCTGATACTTATCATTAAATTTACGAGAAATAATGGCAGAGAAATTACCATCTGCAGTTTAGACAAATAATCACATAGCATACTGGTCATATTTCTGGTGTGCGGTCGTCTCATTACATCTATTTTGCTGTTTATATATGTACTTCTATTGGTGCACATAGTTACAAAGTTTTATACTGATAAGACAGATGGCTGTATTGTAAGTGAAAGAAGGCTTCATTCGATTGGTGGATGGTGACTAGCAGTGGAATCCAGGATGTGCGTTTCGTCCTATTTGGGACTCGTCAACTGGATGTATCTGCATTTCTCAGTGAGTAATGATGTTCCCACCGAGGCTTGAACCCAGTGCCCATAGTTTCAAACGCCAAAGCGTTATCCTTGATATCCTTGATAAAAAAGGTTTGTTTATCCTTAATTGGTACGGAATGTTAACAGTGAAAGGCAGGCATAGAAGTGATTTTTCGTCAATAGAAGTTTGTTTGTTTTTTTGACGACTACTCACTGTCTTTTATTTTTCTTTGATTGAAAACTTCAATGTTAACACCAACCCTGGATTAATTCATTCCTCCCATCAGAACTTTCTGTTTCTGTTGATTTCTTTTTCTGAATGCTGTATACGAAATATGGTAACCTGACTGACCGACTGGTTTCAGTGTAGAACTTTGCACAGATGTGCAGTCTGTCTGTTTGTCTGGATTCAACATAGAACTTGGCACCGAAGTGCACCACTTCGAGTTGCCACGTTCCAAATAGTACAGAAAGGTAGACAAGAAAATGAGTGAAGAGAATCAATAGAGTTTTGACAAGTATAAGAGTGAAACAGAATGAGTAATGGTAGAAAGGAGTATGAAAGATTACAGAGACTGAATACATCTGCGTAAGCCATTGACAACGATTTTGAGCCATGTCACCTATTGTCTCCATCCATTGATTCTTAGAGTCCCGAGGGCCCCAACCCGGAGGTCTGCATCTCCCTACCTGACTCAGTTTAACTGTCAGGGATTTCATGGATTGATGAGGCCATGTTTTTGTTTGGCCACCACTTACTCTTTTCCAACCTGCACCTATATCAGCTAGTAATGCCCGTCCGTCGGGGGAGGCGATGGTTAGGCATGCAGTAGTTCGAGTTACCACACTCCGTCCCCATGGAGCAAACAAACCAAGAGAAGAGATAATAAACAGAAATATGAGGCGGAAAGAATAGTAATATTGAAGAACAATAGCTTTATTTGGTTTGAATGACAAATCACAAAGAGTGAATGCATCTGCACCAATCATTAAGAACGATTTTAAGTCATATCACCAATTGTTTCCAGCCTTCATTGGCATTTAGCCTCTCGAGGACTCCAACCAGTCAGAAAGTCTACACCTCCCAACGTGACTGGCTGCCTGGCTGACTGTTGTGGATTTCATTGACTGATGAAGCCATGTTTTGGTTTGACCAACACTACCACTAGCTCTTTTCCAACCTGCTAACCTTAACTGATGAGAAATGTCAATGGACAATCACGCTTGAATTTTTCAAGTACCGATGAAGAGTCCCAAACTAGGCTGACGAAACAGCCGTCCAGTACTCCCAGGTGGTTTTCCAATGGTTCTCTAACAAATGTCAGCTCATGATGAAATCCTGTAACTCGAATTTTTATATTGTCATTAGGATGTTGGAGATATAAACTCCTGCTACTTTAGGTTATTGATTTTGTTAATCACATGCATGGGAATAAATATCTGTTGTTTTTCTTTTCTGTTTCAGATCCTATGAACGCAGCTCTAAGCGAAGATTTGATTGATGAGACAGGTAATCTTGATGTGTTGTTTCGCCCTGCGTTTTTTTAAAGATATACATTTATACGTATTCTGTGAAAGCTTGAGATTACTTATCTGCTTGTGAAGTTTGACCACACTATCTCTTTTGAAGACCTAAAAACCTCAGACCTAATATGTGATCTTCTCAACACTAACTGACGAAGATATCGAACCAATACTAATCACTGTTGTATTTTGATTGACTCATGTCACTTACATTCACTTTGTCTATCAGTTGGCAAGTTTCAAATCCATAAATAAACACAATGGTGAATTCTGTGGATTAATCCCATTTTGTAAGTGTGAAAAGGAAAAGGAGTTCCGTCAAGGGTCCAAATTTTTTTTATTCCTTCACGTTCCCAGTAGAACATAGGGCGACTTCAAGCTAGAGCTTTGAAGTTTCGGTAGCAGTTGTGTGTGTTTAATTTTACGGGATGGGATTGCTAACCTCTTGCCCCCTCCCCATCCTTCCGTCTTTTCCAGTCTTATTACTAGCTTAACGAAGTAAAGGAACGCGTTGGTGGCCAGGAATCAAACCCAGGATCACCTGTGGTTGGCAAGCGTTCTACCGCTGTTCCACCGACGCACAGGGCTCCAGATACATATCGTTATTAAATGCTGACGGGATGAAAATCTAGGCCAAGGCTTTTAGCGATTGATTTAATATTTAGTAATGATTAGGTGCCCAACAGAGTAGGAATCTGAGGACACTGTTAGCTCGCGGTATTATATTCTCTTTTGATTAATGTCAGTAAACTATTATTATCATTATTATCCCCTTGAGTTCCAAGTGGAACATACGGTTTCAACAGTTAATCTCCGCTTTGCCTTGTTTACTGTGATCCTCTTCAGCCAGCCTCACGATTTCCCATATGCTCTTATCTTCTCCTCACACGATTTCCTTCATGTCACCTTAGGATTCATACCCAGCTCGGGTTCCACTCGAGGTTATCCCTGGAGCACGATGTCGTTTGACGGTCTCCTCAGCAACAGGCTCTTGATTGACTTGTCCCCTACCCAACCGCCTCCAAAGCCTCAGGATGGTCGGGGGTGGGTGCCTTGCGCTGCGGGTTGGCCACCCCCCACGCACACCTCTTGAAATGCTCCCATATGACCGGGCGTCTTACATAGCCTCTCCTGAGGAAGTCCTACTCACTGCCTTCACGTGGCGGAGGTGTTTTTCACCAAAGTGAGAGGGCGAAAGCGGATGACCGGCGCTCTTCACCGGGTTGACTGTCCATTGGATGACAGTCTAGGGGAGATGGCTAAACCCTGATTCCAAACCTCCAACGACTGGCATATGAAGATCACTGGAGCTCACCGGCAGACGTATGGACAAAGGGCTTGTTGGATGTCCTGGATGTCTGGCCCCATTCAAAAAGGCGTATGAACCGAACTCCGGTCACCGGCTGCCAATGGATAGTGGACTCCCTACTCCACTCCTACTGCCTTGTAGGTCACACTTGGTTGTGTAAAGGCTAGAGCTGCACTCTCAAACAAAAGGCCGAGCGATTCTGGGGACATCACTCGTACCAAATTCCCATGAAACTTCATGAACTCTCTTATTCGAGATGTTCATGAAGCCGGCTCATCCTCCCGTAGGAGATAGCCGAAGAAAAGTAAAGTAAGTACCCAACCCAGCCCCATAGTTTCCTGTTTCTAATTCTTCCTGGTTATTTGAACAAAGCAAGAACTACAGTTTTAGTAGAATAAAGTGGTACCATCATTGTTTATTTCGTTGCCTTCTCGTCAGCTGCTAACAAGGCAAAGACATTATTAAACGTATCTACAGAAACAATTTTAACATACTTGCACAGAGTTTATTATAAAAATCAATCGATCACTGTACGTATACACTAATAATATATGAATATAAAAATGCAATATTAAACGCTATTCCGAACAATAATAATCATACACAATGAAAACTTTTCAGCATCTCGCATTCGGATGAAAAATATCTTTTGCTTATTGATAATTTTGAACAACGTTTCGACATCCACCTCATGACCCGTGTCGAGGAGATGCCTGGCGACGGCACTGTTTAAGGCATTTGTTCCCTTTAGACGTAAGCTTTTTGGTACATGTTCAGAAAATCGTAGATATACCCTTCTTTCTGTTCTTCCAATGTGAAATGCTGAAAAGTTTCCATTGTGCATGATCATTATTGTTCGGAATAATGTTTAATATTGCATATATATATACATGTATATATATGTATATATTAGTGTATGCGTATATTGGTCGACTGATTTTCGTTTAAAATGAACTATATGCAAGTATTTTAAAATTGTTTTTGTAGATATATTTAATAATGTCTTTGCCCTGTAAGCAGTTGACGAGAAGGCAACGAAATAAACAATGATGGTACCATTTTATTCTGCTAAAACTGTAGGTCTTGCTTTGTTCAAATTCATTAAGGGGAATAAATGTATCAAAGATCTTCCTGGTTATTTAATCTTCAATATGGAGTGTGGCCTGTTGGAGATGCTTTTCGTGACATACCAACTGTCAGTAAACTACTAATAATGGGCGTATTTATCCCCTGATTTCTTTTCAGAGTATGAACAAATTCCAGCAATATATACTTCAGAAGATGAACATATGCAATCACCAACCGATCAGACAAATAATACTACATGTAAGAAATATTTTTTTGCTGTACACTATACTGTGTATGCCTAAAATTTACAGCTCATTCATCTGTCCAACCGGAGAATGCTGATTTAAAGACGACAGCGACTAAAGAAGAACAACAACCTTTGAAGAAGAGCACTGACGACCCTATTGATGATGAGAAGAACAATGACAACAGTAATGATGGTAAAACGGATTCATCACACACTGTATCGATTCCAGCAAAAAAACGTAAATTACCAAGTAGGTGTGTGTGTAATTCTAAATATTTTCACCTAATCACAATAATTAGTTCCCTCAGGTGGTCTAGTCTCCTATGCCATTGACGACGATGAAGATGAGAATACTGTGCTAGACACCGATGAGGATGATGATGCCAGTGATGACGATGGTGAGAATACTGACTCAGACAATGAAAACACTCATAGTAATCATGCCTCACAAAGTAACCGTGAGTTCCACCACCATCCCGGTGTTATAGATCCTTCAATAATAGATCAACCACCGACTATTTTCAGCTCTGATCAACCAGTTATTAATATTTCATCTCAGAATCAAATTCACCCTACAGAATTATCCACAGTCTATGATGCGAAAACTTCAAATCCTCTTAGCAATGAAGCAATGAAACCGGAGAGTCTGACAGAACGTCTTATTCGTGAAATTCAACTACCGCCTGAACCTACAGGACATTGTTCTATGGTGTTACAAGAAAGAGTTGAACGTGCTGTACGACGTATGCGATTGGATATTAGTTATGATCCTAATAGAGCTATTCAAGATAATAAAGCATTCCGTAATCCAAGGTATGTACCCGTTTTGTACACACTATTGTATAAAATTTTTTTGTTATTCTTTTTTTCTTTCTTTTAATTTTAGCATTTATGAAAAGTTGATAGATTTTTTGAAAATTGATGAGAAAGGCAGCAATTTTCCTAAAGTAAGTCAATATAGACTAATTAATTATTACTGTCTAATATTGTTTTAATTGTAAACCTAATAGACGATCTTGGGTACTCACTTATCATTTGATTTAGGATGATCTATCTGTGGAACTGAGACTTGGAGTGCGTCAGTAGTCCAGAAGTGGAGCTCCTGTCAGCCATGCATTTGGTCCGGTCTTCGAATCCCAACCGACGACGCACTCTCAAACCCTCGCCTAACTGGTAGTGATTCCGGTAAAAAGGACAAGTTAGATTTGAGGCTACCTACATCACTTCATAAAAACAACACCACTAGTACGGTGAGGAGGGGAAATCAATCGACAAGGTTGTGAAGTTACATCGACTGAGATGGTTAAGACATGTGTTACGTATGCCTCCCTAGCCTCACCTTCCTCGACGGGAGAAGCCAACTGGCATAGGAGCAAGTTAGAAAAGAGCTAGCCAGTAGTAGTCAAACCAAAACATGTCTTCATCAGTCACTGAAATCCACAACAATTAGTTTAAGCCAGCCACGTAGGAAAGTGTAGAGTGGTTTCCTGGTTGGGGTCCTTGGGACAGTGAAAAACGAATGAAGGCTGGAGATAATTGGTGATATGGCTCAAAATCGTTCTCAATGGCTGGCGCAGATTCATCCGCTCCTTGTGTCTTATAATTTCCGGTGAAACTATATTGCTCTTCGTTATTACTATTCCTTCTGTCTCATATACCTGTTTACTGTCTCTATTTTGCATTTCTTCTCTTGCTTCGTGTGCTACGTGGATGGAGTGTGGCGACTTGAACTGCTGCACATCGGTGCAAAGTTCTATGTTGAAAACAGACCGACAGAGTGCATCTGCGCCATTGACAACAATTGTGAGTCATATCACCAACAATCTCAAATCATTGGTTCTTAATGTCTCGAGGACCTCAACCAGCAGATCACAGTGATTAATTCTGTGTTTTGGTTTGACCACTCCTAATCCATTTCCGACCTTGATCTTATGTCAGTTAACATTACTCGACGTAGAATGCGGTGACTCGACATGCCCAACACGTCTCCGAGCCATCTTAGTCAATGTAGTTTCACAACCTCATCGATTGACTTTCGCTTCGTACGTAACACTCTCTGCCTTACCTCAATATTGCTCACCGCCACTGTACCACTTAACATAGGAGACCAAGTGTGAATATCCATGATCTAAGACAGGTGGTCTTTTCAGATCTTCGATTTTCAATGACCATGTCCCACAACCATAAAGGAGAACAGAGCAGCGAAGTGCTGCGCAGTATACACGTGTCCTTTGATCACGTATGCGCCAGAGATGATGTAAGTTGGCGAATTTCATGTAAGTCGTTTGTATTTGTACTGGATAGGCATGTAAGGGAATGTATACACCAGCAGAGACGCTCCAATTCATCGTAGAAAAGAAAAACAACAAGATATTACAAAGTAATAAAAATATCCACTGACTAGCCGTCATTAATATATCGATATGATAATATTGTAACAGCAGAAGGCGAAACACGGAAGCCAAGGTATATTTTCAGGTGATCAAACCGCTATTTATATGTATACAGTTTATGTTCGTCAACCAATCACTGAGCGTGTGATTTTGGTTTACATTAAACGACATGGAATAGAATGTTCAAATAGATATATAGTATTATGTTACTGATGCAGCATTAAACTGTGGGAATAGTATTCAGACGTTAACACCAACAAATACAATGAGAATAATATTCCGTTGGAAACCATTGTCTGTATCTCACCACCACACTCCTGCCCCTCATCAAATACTTTAGACTGAAGGTGGTCCGATCTTCTTGCTACTGGCATCTTTGTCTACTTGTCTTGCTGTATCCATTTCTGGAGCTCGCCGACGTTCACCCACCTCTCTTTGTTTGCACTTCTGATGGAATATACTTGACGCCGTCTCGCGGTGACCGTGTATTGTCCTTCCCACTTTGTAAGCAGTTTGCATAACCCTGGCGCATATTCGCCTCACACTGTCATATGCTGCCTTTACCTGACCTCTCAGCAACGTTCCAAATAACAGCCTCGAAGTCCTGTAAGAAGATCCATATGTCTCCTTTGACAAAATCTGCAGGGCATAGGCTTTTCATTTGTCGGCAGGCAGCAACACCAAAGCAGAAGGCGAGACACAGAAGCCAACGTATATTCTCAAGTGATCAAACTGCTATTTATATCTCTACATTTTATATTCTTTAACCAATCACTGAGCGTGAGACTTTGGTTTACCCTACACGACTACACCGACCCGTAGATTAAAAATAGGAAGTGAAGTGGTAGAGCACGTTGACCGCTTCACTTACTTGGGAAGTACCATCAGCCCCCACGGGTTGGTCTCTGACGAAATCTCAGCACGAATACAGAGGGCTAGGTTCGCATATGCCAGTTCACGCCGTCTCTGGCTTAGTAGACGTGATATCCGACTATCGACCAAAGGGCATGTGTACTGCTCAACAGTCCGCTCCGTCCTCCTTTATGGCTGTGAGCGAGACCTGACCATTGAGAGCAGAAGACATGAAAAGATTACCTGTGTTCGATCATAGGTGTCTGCGTTCTATTTCCCGTGTGAAGTGGTATAATAAGGTGAGCAATATTGAGGTTAGGCACCGGTCGAGTGCTAGGTAGCTGGGAGGGGAAATCAACCGACGAGACTGTGAAATTAAATCGACTGAGATGGTTAGGACATGTGATACGTATGCCTAGTCATCGCCTTCCTCGACGGGCAATGTTAGCTGATATAGGGTCAGGCTGGATAAGAGCTAGCTACTGCTGGTCAAATCAAAACATGGCACCAGTCAGTGAAATCTACAACAATTAGTTTAAGCCACGAAGGAAGATGTAGACTCCCTGGTTTGGGTCCTCGGGACGGTAAAAAGCAGTGGCTGGAGACAATTGATGACATGGCTCAAAGTCGTCATTGTCAATGGCTGGTGCAGATGCATCCACTTCTTGTGACTTAGACTTTCCAATGAAACTGTTTTGTTCTTCGTTATTACTAGTCCTTTTGTCTCATATCCCTGTCTACTGTCTCTATTTTGCATTTCTTCTACTTTATTCTCTCGCTTTGTGTGCTACAATAAGGGAGTGAGGCGACTTTAACTGCCGCACATATGTGCAAAGTTCTATGTCGAAAACAGGCAGACAGACAGACAAACTAAACGAATAATATTCCGTTGGAACTCAATGTCTGTATCACACAACCACAATATGATGTTAAACTAACTATAATTGTATGAGTTTCAATCACTTCATTATGCCAGACATGACTACTGCTGCAATAGGCTTAAGTAGTATAGTGGGTTTTTTCTAAAAACCACTGCTTAGATGTCTACAGCTTATCTTTGATCATGAAAGTTTAAACATACAAATGTCATGAATGCTTGTGAAAAAAGGCAAACTTACCACTAAGCCGATTGCCTCCAACCATCTAATATCATCAAATCAATGTGCACCGTGATGGCGACCTACCTAGTAGCATAGAATTCAGTCTGCACCATACAAAAGACTAGCCAGACACATCACACTAGTTACTGACTAGCGTCCAGTCAAAGTCCCCAATACAATCCTACAAGAAGGAGGTCAATCACGAGCCCGAATAGCAGCTCAGTGGTCACGTCTCTGACTGCAAGCAGCACTGGGTGACGCGGATTATAATCGCAGATAGGGACATGAATTCCTTCAAGGTGGTTGCAGATAAGCCTGCCATGCTGACTGGTGTTGAGAGTGCCAACAAGCACGAAACCTAGGCCCTGGAAAATACTTACTTACTACTCATCAACACTCACTTTTGTTTTTCATTGGTGAATTAGGAAATCTATGATCCTTATCGTTGGGGTCCTCAATCCTACTATGAAGAACTTGCAAAAGTACAGAATCGTGAAATTGACAGACTGATGAAATTGCAAAAAGAACAGAAAAAGACAGAGGCCAATACATCGACGACGACAGCAGCAACAACAACAAACACTAATACTGCTGGTACTACAAGTACTAGTACAATGAAAAGCACAAACATTCCCAATCCCATAACAGCAGAGAAGACAAATCCAACTACTGGAGGATCTGTATATACAGGATACATTGGTAAGTGATGTATATATATATATATATATATATATATATATATATATTAAATAATTGAAAGTAATGGGCTTAGAGGAAGTCATAGCCTTCTATGAGCACCATTCACAACATAGTGTGCTTGCTATCCATTGCAAAGTCATTATGTTCATGCAGTCGTATTGTGCGTCGGTGGTATAGCGGTTAGGACGCTCGCCGACCATGCACATGGTCCGGAGTTCGATCCCCGGCCAACGGACGCACTCCTTTACCTCGCTAAGCCAGAAATAATACTGGTGAAGAGGAAAGGTTGGGCATGAGATTGGCTAGCAACCCCATCCTGTAAAATAAACACTGCTACAGAAACTTCAAGCCACTAGCTTGAAGCCCTATGTTCCACTGGGGAACGTGAAGGAATAATAAAAAAGTTGAAGGTTATTCTATTGTCTCTTTGTGGCCGTTTCTTGAAGTTCAGATTATATTATCTGCAAATTGTATCCACCTACGCAAAGTCTGCTGTGATTGGTTGTTGAGTCAGTCTTTATTCTTATTTTTGTCTCATGACCAATATTAGGGACGTAAACATTGACGTAAATCGCTGTCTACCACAATTTTAGCTAGCAGACAGCTCTCACCACACTACAATTGTGACATTTAATTTAATTCTACTTAAACCCAAACTTAGTGCTTTGAAGGTAGTGTTGTCACATTCATAAATAAAACTAGACTTACAGTAAAATTCACTCCAATTCCCCTCAAAACTCTAGAAATAATAATTTCTCATTACCTAGATTAATCACATGATGTGTATACTTTTCGATACTCTCAGCAGCGTATCTTCTCAAGAGTTAAATCCAACCTTCTTTTTGCAACGTAACCATTGTGTACGTCAGAAATCGAGAAACTTTAATAATCTCCGATGATATGCATGAACAGACAAAACATCCTTAAAAAAAGTTCACTTGACCTATAACTTCACTGAGAGCTGTAATCTAGAACAAGAGAAAACATTGGGATCTTATATATCTGTTGAAAACCAGAAAGCACTAGACAACTGTTTCACCCTATTTCGAGACTCTTTATCAGTGCTCGCCTATGACTCCACCAGGGATTGAACCCGGAACCTTCAGGTTATGACAATTAATTAGGCTCACCGAGCATTCAACTATTCGGTGCCGGAATCCAGTGTTCCATGAGTTCTAACTTTTTCAACTCGCGATATTGTAACGACAGAAGACAAGGGCCAGGCCAGACAGATCGTTTATTAACGAAATCAACAGATATTTAAGGATTTTCATGTACATTATTATCGATCCAGTAAGCGGACAAACACAGTCTTCTGATTGGTGGTTTCTCTCTCTCTCTAAACGTTAATCTTTCATCTCTTTGTGGCCGTTTCTTGAAGTTCAGATTATATTATCTGCAAATTGTATCCGCCTACGCAAACAAAGTCTGCTGTGATTGGTTGTTGAGTCAGTCTTTGTTCTTATTTTTGTCTCATGACCAATATTAGGGACGTAAATTACTGTCTACCAATTCTGGCTAGTGGCCAGCTCTCACCACACATACTACTACTGACGGCTAACAACTGTGAGAGAGTGATATGAATCATCATACACATACACACGCCTGTATCACTCACTTATAGAAGGATTAAAGTCACCCTCCCAAGCCTATAAGCACAGTAGAAGCACTTTAGATGGAGCTGCCGTCTCATGTCATAACATTGCTTCCAGTCTATACAAGGGGGCTAAATTTGTTCGTTGTGCCTTTCTGGACTATACATCTACTTTTGACTCGGTTCCTAGGGATATCTTATTAAATAAACTTGCTGCAAGTCAAACAGAATGTTGGGCTGTTAACTGGTTACATTCCTATTTCTCAGAAAGAAAGCAGTACACTGTGTATAAAGGGGAGTCTTCCACTTCACTGCCTACTGAAGCTGGTGTCCCTCAATGCGCCGTCTTTTCTCCTTTTTCTTTCTTCTTACATGACTTGCCTCACTCTGATGAAATAAACTTTGTGAAGTACGCTGATGATTTGACAGTCTCAATGGCTGTAAACTCCCAGCTAGATTGTACCAAAATAAATAGATTTCTGTCGGGAGTCAGTAAATAGTCTGAGTCTAACGGTCTTAAACTGAATGCTTCTAAATGTCAAACTGTTAATTTCAGCTTAAGATGTAAAAGACAGTTGAAAGAAGCCATCGAGTCTCATAAGAGTTATAAGATTGATGACAATGATATAGGAATTATATGAGAAATTAAGTATCTTGGACGTATTCTCTCTTCTGATCTCTCCTGGTATTCCCATAACTGAGCGATCTCCAGTACAAGATTCCGCTTGATATTTTGCATTAAGAAGTTAAGGCACTCGGGCATAACTCAACCCCTCCTCTTATAGTTCATAAACTCTTGCATCCTACCTATTCTTCTTTATTGTTCACCCTTATTCTTTCCTGGTTTGCTTAAAAAGGACAATGTCACAATTCGTAGAATGCTAAAGACTGTCAGTAGGATAAGTGGTGTCCCAATGGACTACATAGTTAACATTGTTGTCGATAGGCACTTGACTTCGTGCAATAAATTTGCTAGAGGGATTTTGTCTGACTTGGAGCATCCACTTTACCCTCAGCTTTCACCTTCCATCTCCTCAGGTAGAACAAGAAGTAACTTCAGAAAAGTGTATGCTCGCACGTCTAAGTATAAAAATTCTATGATACCCATACTGGGCACATATTTTATGTGATGAAAATAGTGTCAGGCAAGAATTGACTAACCTTTTTTCATCTAGTAAATAAACAATTTCCTCCATCCATCCATCCTTATATACCTTCAAGTTTTACTTTTATTATTTCTATTATATTTATGGTGCTGTTGCTTCTTTGTTTTTACTTTCATAACTGCAAACACCAACTTATCTCTATGACTGCTGTAATCTTTGTTTTTTCACTCACCATATCATGGAAAGAGAACATTATATTCAATATTTTTAAACATGCTAGGATTTCTATACCGCATCGACAATACTGTGAGAAACAAGCCCATGGCAATTTTCACTTGTATTATTATTATTACCTTAGGTGTTATCATTACTATTATTTCCATTTTATATGTTGCATGTTTTTGAAATTACCCCTACTGTAAATGTGGCAAATTTTCTGTGTGACTAATTTTTATTTATAATTTGAGGAAATTAGATGCAATATTGTGATTAATGCTGAAAATTCCATTCTGTATCACAAGTAGTGTTTTTGGAATAAAGTAAATCATTATTATTATTATTACTGTCTCCAAGTGTGTACATTTTTGGATTTCTCTTTTTTTTCCTTCTTATTTTTAGAACCGAAAAGACCAAGTAAATGGGATATTGGTATGCCTATCAACCTACAATCGCATGAGACTACTAGTACCACTACTGCTACAGCTACTACTACTTCTACAATTACAACTACAGAACCCGTCAAACAGCAGCCACAGCAACAACAACAACCACCACCGCCGCCATCAGTACTTCCTGTTGGCAGTTTAATTAAACGAAACTGATGTGTGCAGGGCAATTTCATAAGATCAATAATAATAACTCAAAACAGCTGCTGATAACGCTTATTCCGCCACTCACACACAAACCAACACACACCTTTTTTGTACTTGTAAACATGCACATATATTTTTCCAAGAAAATAAATAAATATTGTATATTTATTGTAAAAAAAAAGAACGTTTTCTCCCACACAAAAGAAATCAAGTTAATTTTAACAAAACACCGTTTGGACAGAAAACCCACCAAGAAAGACTATTTGCTCAATATGCATACATAATAATAATAATAGGAAAGAAAAAGACGGCCTACAAATGAGAATGAGATTTCAATGCATTATGCTCATGTTGTTTAACAATATTTGATGATATTGGTTGTAGGTGTTGGTGGTGTGGATGGTGATGATGTTGTGGTTGTATCGGTTGTGTTGTGGTGTTGTCAGCGGGAAATTGGATTTTACATCAGTTTTAATTAATCCACTACTACTAGGCAGAGTTGATTGATTTAATGCTGGTGTCCAATTCATAATGAAAGAGTTTGTTGCTCTTGTCCAATCATCTTTATAAACCTATTTAAAAAAAAGTTATAATAAGAAATTCTTAGATTTATGTTAATTTAATATATTGAAAAGGCTATAATAATATGTCTGTGACATACATGCGGTGGGCAGGTGATGTGTCTGCCTCTCTCATATTATTAGCTGAACTCTTAACCACCTTCAGTACTACAACACCTTTGGGTTTCGTAACGTCCAATGACTCGTGCATGTATATTTAACTACTTCTTCAGTCCCTATTTCAAGACGAGTCAGGTGGATAGATATTACACTACAACCAAATAAATATGATCAAGTTATCAGATGACTAGCTAAAACTAGCAACAAGTCAACCAGACTCAACCGTGTCTGAAAGACAGAGCGAACATATGAATAGCTGCCGTATACCTCCGACACACTACACACACACACACATCCGCTATAGCCAGGTAGGAACACATCAGTGAATCACCTACCTGCCAACTTAACTAAGTCTAAATAAAATCAGACCTGGTGTCAATTAAACTACTACAGAAGTGTCGATTGTGGTGAACACTCTTAGAAAGTGTACTGACAACCGCACCCATACATCCCTCTTCCAATGAGGAGGGCGGCATAAGATTTTTTTCAAAAGTGCACCACACATACAGATCTATAAGTCATTGGATCGGATCTCAGTGGCTGAATGGTCTAGATGATCCCACATTTGAACCCTCGTAGGTGTATATTGATAAAGAGTTCGAAACTAGGGCAAAACAGCTGTCCAGTACTCCTAGATGGTTTTCCAAAATGGTTCTCTAGCTGATATCAGCTCGTGATCAGTCTTGAAACTGATCCAATCCCCAAAAACTAACTCTTAACTGAATACGATCTACACAGTTAACTAGTAACAGTTTGCTTGTCAAACAAGAAATTTAAATTTTGAGGTATGGTTTGGGTGAAAGTAGTTATGTTTAAATATTCCCATTATTAATATTAGAACAAGGCGTATAAGCAAACACTATTGTTGTTTTCAATTAGATCTACTTCAGGCTCTACTCTGATTTACATAGATTTATATATAAAGATTTCTACCAATGACGGTGATTTTGTAGATCAAATTATAGTAATAATAATAGTGTGGTAAATGTTTTAAACGTCATGAATAACGATGATTATAATGATAACAAAATATTGATAATAAGGTTTATGCAGGTGGCGATAAGAATAACGAAGGTAGTAATATGTATGTGTATATGTAGACAATTCAATAAAAAAATAAATTAGGTCAAATCATAAAAGTTACATAATAATAAAGGTAGGTGAAGTGGACAGATAATCAGAGTTTAAATAGACAAATATCATAAAAGTACGAAGGAAATGGAAAATAAGAAAGGGTGGGAGGGTTTTGATTACAATTCATCTAGGCCAGGCAAGGGAGAGACAAAGGTAGAACAAACTTCTTTTGTATGCAACGACACCTGGGTTGTTCTCTCGAACTAATTCCCATAGCTTCGGCTATGTGTGGAAGGCAGGTTCGAATTCCGTTCGAAAGGCTCGATGAAATGCGGTAGATAACTTTGAAGATGGCACTATTTCTGTCCACTTGGTGACCGCTATTAATCAAATGAGCCAAAATATAACTACTTATGGTGGCTAAATAATTATCTTTCTAAAGTCTGTGCTTGCGCCTATTGCCTAGAAAATAACATTCAAGGCTCAAAGGACCTAATTACTTACTATAATCTCTTCTGAAAAATTGATGAAATGACTATAGCTGCAATTTTCGAAGGTGTTATACTCCGTAAAGTGGCTTGGTTGCTTTGTTCACTAGGGTTTGAGCAGTCAAGCACCATTGCCATACCCCTTATAATACCAGTAGCTTAGTTCAACAACGCACACAACCTTGATACATAATCGGCATCAAGAGGAGATGCACCGAAGGAGAACTTATAGTTTGTGTGTGAGAGATGAGATACTACTACCTGAACGCCAAGATCAAAGCAGCAGGTGATTGTGTCTTAAGGGATTACTACTGCCCGAATTTTCGACTTGAGATGTGGTCCCACAAGGCAGTGGAACATCATCGGGAGCTACGTTCCCATGATTGACGATGACCAAATCACGTTCACAGGCCATCCGATTCGTTCAGATTCTGGAGCTGATGTAAATCAATGGTTTTGAATCAGAGTTCCCCAGCTACTCTAGGTGGTAGAGCAGCACGTCCACTTGGTCCAGTTGTAAGCGCCGGACGTCTGCATTCACCATTTCGGTTTGAATTCAATCCCTGGAACTAAGATAAAATCCACACAATTGTTTTGATGGAGGCTGAATAATACTACCCAAGTTGCCTAAGCTGAGAGGAATTCGAACATATGACCCACGGACTGAAAGCCCTGCGTACGTAAACTCATCAACCACGTTTTCAATCACAAAACTGGGATAAGAAAAGATGGGTTCTATTAAGATTGATTTCTGTGCCATATTATGTTATCCCTCAAAGTTATATATGTACTTATTGTGGTTAGCATGATGAAGCGGATATACCACGTCTTTGTCTAATTGTCTCAAGTGTAGTCTATAACAGTAGATGGTCTTTTGGTTGTTACAGGATTCTGAATTTACCAGGCGGTTTACTTCTTCAGCCCAAATATACTCTACATTTAGTCTACATTACTCACATAGTAAGTTCACTACACACAGAATTCATTCGGCAGAGGTAAAGGCGCCGACAGACATCCAAAGACTTCATCAACCTGTGTTATTCTCACTGACGGCAGTAGGAGGAGTAGATTTCAATGTACTCCTTAGTGTGTTAACACTAAATGTCTACGAGTTGATCACGGATTGATATCAGTTAGAGAACTATTGAAAACTAGCACTGCAGTACTGGACAGCTGTTTCATCCTAGTTTGGGAATCATCGGCAGTACGCACCCACCGCCAGGGGGCTCGAACCCAGGACCTTCCGGTCACAAGGCTAGCAAGCTCGTATACCATTCAGCCATTCACTGGGACCCGATTCAATGGCTAGCCCATGAATTCTAACTTCTAACAGTTCGTGATTTAGCGCGACCCCAACCAACTATAGAAAATTAATCTGATGCTCGCTAGTAACTTGTTACAGGATGGAGTTTCCTGGAGTGATAAGTCCAGTGACCAGTGAGGTTCATCCAGTCAAGTGTGAGTATGGATGCCCACCGATGACATTGGTTGGTGGTCGCGCTAAATCACGAACTGTTAGAAGTTAGAATTCATGGGCTAGCCATTGAATCGGGTCCCAGTGAATGGCTGAATGGTATACGAGCTTGCTAGCCCTGTAACCGAAAGGTCCTGGGTTCGAATCCCCTGGCGGTGGGTGCGTACTGCCGATGATTCCCAAACTAGGATGAAACAGCTGTCCAGTAGTACTCCAGTGCTGGTTTTCAATGGTTCTCTAACTGATATCAATCCGTGATCAACTCGTAAGAAAAAACAAAACTAACCCTTACAAACCAAAGTATAGAAAAATAAATGTCTATATAAAATGTTAAGACTGAAGTCTACCCACCGTCGATCGTACCAGGTGGTAGTTTATTGACGGGTGTGTGTGTGCGTTAGTTCTTAAGTAATGTATATTTTCAGTCTTCTCAATTTTTACCAAGTGATACATACAAGTGTCGCTCTATTGATGGACATATTGTCTTTGCCATAACACTACTGATAAACACATACAGACAGAAAAAATGTTTAGAAAACAGAAGGATTGAGCAGCGAAGAAATATTTACTTTTCAATTAGATCCTCATTTTACCCTGGCTCTACTCTAATATACACGTACAGCATTTTTATAACAATTTACCAATCAAGCGGCACTGATATGTTTGTTAACAATAATTAGTCAGTGTCAACATGTCAAGCAGTGGGGTGATAATTAACGAAGAGAATTAATACACACAATTAAAAGGTAGAAATGTTTGCAACACGTGGATTGCATAATTTTGGAAAAATGGAGAGTAATTAAGGAATAAGCGTGTGCTCAAGTTGATTGCGTAACAGAGTGTTAAAGAAAATAAAACGATTTGGACCATGATAACATGTTATTAAAGATGACGTAGTCAGTGGAGCTGAAGCGATAGGGATCCACCTGAAGAAGCCAAACCTGTGTGTCCAGAAGAAATTTGTACAGCCACTTTCCTTACCTTGGCCATCGTTACATGAATGTATAAACCGGACTACTTTGCCCCCTTTCCCCTAAACCTTTGAAAATTATAATTGTCCAAATTATTTTATTATTTTTCTACCCTTTAATTGTTTTGAATTATCTATCTTGGTTATTATCAAGCCCGATGACATGTTGATACTGACTAACTATTGTTAATAAACACATCAGTGCCACTTGATTGGTAAACTGTTGTGTATTGTAATAAAAATGCTATACATAATATATTAGAATAGAGCCAGAGTGAGATGAGGATCTAATTGAAAAGTAAATATTTCTTCGCTGCTCAATCCTTCTGTTTTTGAAACAACCAATAAAGGTTAATAAAGCAGGATTTAATGATGAATTCATCAAATTTCGGTAGAACTCGTCAGCTGAATACTCTA